TTTAAAATATTGGTATGTATTTTACTCATCGAGCCACCATTCTAAACAATGAATTTAAAATTCTCTTTAAAATCTAATATTTGTCCTAGAGATGTGTTTCGAAGTCTATTAGTAAATTTAAGATGTAATTCAATGGATTTTCTAAAAGTAAGGTTTACCTTTTACTGCAAACAACGAAAATAACATTTTATTTACATTCAGTAGCCTGTGAGGTCAAAAGACAAAATAGAAGTCCTGTAATTCTACCACTGTCTGAAAACGTGTGCAATAAAGTAAAAATAAAACCTAAATCTAAGTAAACTGTTTGTTACGCCTTTCAAGGGCGAATAATTTATTAAAAAACGTATGCAGGTTTTAGAATTCTAAAAAAACGTCGGCAACAAAAAAGTAAATGCCAATATTTTAATCCCCATTAATTTATTTTATTCAATTAAACATTGTCTTAATTCTTTAAGTTCTTAATTCAGCATAATCTATCTTCGTGTATTAGGTACCACTGTGGACTTTCTAAAAAAAGAACAAAATCGAAAAAACGGAAATATGCATTTTAAAGAATTTAAATGCCTTTGAATTTTTGGTTCTATTTGAAACATAATATCTAATGCTAATCTGAATTAAAAGAAAAATTAATTTCCATATATAAAAGTTTTTTTAGTCATTTTTAAAACCTTGGTACATTTTTTTTTGTAACTCGACTCATCAAGCTGCTATTGTACACAGAAAATTGGGGCACCTCGAGATGGTGTAATGGTTAGCAAGATTGTCTCACTAGAACAATTACGACTGAGTAGTGAGTTTGATCCTCACTGGGTGCCCCCTTACTTTCGGCTTTGTGCCACATCCAAGCTACGCTGGGAAAATCAAGGGCACCTTGACTAGGTGTAATGGTTAGAAAGCTCGTCTTGCTAGATCAGTTACGACTGAGTAGTGAGTTCGATCCTCACTGTGTGCCCCATACTTTCGGCCTTGTGCCACACCTAAGCCGGGCTTAGAAAATCGCTATTGTATACAGAAAGTGTAAACAATAAATTTAAAATTCTCTTTAAAACCCAATATTTGCCCCAGAGATGTGTTTGAAAGTCTATTAGTAAATTTAAGATGTAATTCAATGGATTTTCTAAAAATCGTTTACTTAAAACAGAATGAAAATAACGCTTTATTTACACTCAGTAGCCTGTGAGGTCAAAGGGCAAAATAGAAATACTAGGTCGAGTGAAAAATTACTTTTATGGAATGTGACCAAATGAGATTTATTTTTCAACATAGTCTACATAATTCTTTCATCGGTGTTGCAGTGCGTGGATCCCATTGGTAGAGAAGCTTTCATACTGTTGGCCCCCAAATCAACAGTAGATATGACGTCATCATCATTGCGATACTGCTTCCCAGGCAAATGTTTTTTTCATGTTGGGGAACAGATAATAGTCAGGAGGATAGGGAAGGTAATCAACTAGTTCAAAGCCACAGACATGCGCAGTAGCCATTGAAACCAAGGACTTGCGTGCTGGAGCACTGTCCTAATGAAACAAGACCACTCTTGTCAGTTTTCCTGGGCGTTTGGACTTGATAGACTTTCGTAACTGCCTAAGCATGTTGGCATAGTACTCTCCATTGATGGTGTGACCCTTTTGAAGATAGTCAATAAGCACAATGCCTTTTTTATCCCCCAAAACTGAGGTCATCATATTCCTTGTAGATGAAACGACATTGGCCTCCTTTGGAGCAGATGAGGGGTGGTTTTTCCACTGCATGGGTTGTCTCGGGTTGAAAAGGATGAACCCAACACTTATTCTGGGTTATGAAACATTCAAGGAAACCAGCTGGATCTGCCTCAATCAATGTCAGATTTTCCCGTGATGTGATCAACATGGTGGGCTTTTTGATCAGGTATCTGAAGACGTGGTACCCCTCGAGCAGAAACCTTCGTCGTGCCAATTTCATTGTTTATTATACTCGCAACTATCTCACGGGGTATGCTAATAGCATTGGCTATTTGATTTATATTTGATTACCTGTCATCCATCACCATGTGGTGAAAAGGATCAATGTTTTCCCCGGGGGTGCCAGTTGCAGGCCGTCCAGATCTAGTATCATCTTCAAGAGTCTTCCCTCCCCACCCCAATGTAGCATGAATGTCCATGGGGGTTAAAGACTTTTTCTGCAGGTACTTGATAACATCACGGTGCCAATCTTCATTGCCATATTCACAACGTTTCGGCCGTTTTACACTCAGGCCTTCTTCAGGTGACTGGAATTTCGAACCGAATCCTTTATTTCGTCTACCGAGGTAGACTGTTCTAGTTCCACGTGCCATGCCTCTTCCTGATATCTCGGTTATTTTCCTTTCTCAGCTCTCCATGTTTTTGGTTCACCACTGCTGTGGCCTGATATTGAACTCACTAATAAGTGAGACATTCGGAAGAGGCATGACACGTGGAACTAGAACAATCTACCCCGATAACGAAAGAGTTCGGTTCGAAATTCCAATGGCCGAAACGTTGTGAATATTGCAATGAAGATGAGGATAACAGTCCGAATAATGTAAATAATGCAAGTAATCAAAGATTTGTTTTTAAAATAATAAAACTCAACAACTCATGTTTAATTACTGAAATAAGTATTGCTTATTCTTGTATACAAAAATCTGTAAGTAAATGCAGGAAAACAGACAGGCGAAAAAAAAAAAAAAAAACAAAACAAAAAAACGAATAATATCCGTGTCCATGAATCTGAAAACTGCACATTCGTGAGACAAAACCTAATTGAACTGTAGATATGAAAGTAGATTAATTCATAATACTCTTCCGATAGTCAATAGTAGTTAGTCAAAGCGCGTTATCAAAATTATGCCCTTTTTGTGCATCCATAGTAAAAAATAATCTAACACTAGCTAAAAGGAAAAATTTTTTTTTTAAATGGTCCACACTCGAAAATGGCATTAAACTTTACATTTTTTGATTCTTCAAACATTTTTTTATTTAATAAAAGAAAGGCTTGTGACGAACAGAAATGAAATGAATTTCAAAATCGCATTGAAAAATTGCCACGAATGTTCTGTTTCTGTCGGATAATTCAAGTTACGTATTCGATATATTTAATAGTAAGGGGTTCCTAGTATCCCGTAAGACCTGACTTTATATGTAGAAAACCTTAAGAAGGGTATTTTTTTAGGTTTGCGCCAAAAATGTACACAAACAGTGTAGAGCCAACGTAGTGAAGCCACTAAGACACAAGGGGTTACAGGGTGCAGAAGAATTAGAAACAGAAACATTAATAATGCGCGGGAAGAGTAATCAGGGGGACAGTAAATAGCAATTAGCATTGCATTTAAATTTTTGCAGATTAAAGTTGGCTGGAAAGCATGGAGCCGGATGGAAGTTCCACAAGTAAGGCAGTAAAGCCACTAAGACACAAGAGGTTACAGGGTGTGGAAGAATTAAGAACAGAAACATTAATAAGGAGCGGAAAGAGGAAAGAGTAATCAGGAGGACAGTAGTGACTAGCATTGCATTTAAATTTTTGCAGATTAAAGAGACTGGAAGGCATGGACTTGGAAGAGAGTTCCATAAGCGAGAAGTGTGAGGAAAGAAACTGCTAGCATAGAATTATACGGTTATATCTAGCCAATTCAACTTGTAAATTGATAAGTTCTCGATGCCAGTCGAGTAATGAACTTAAATTCAAAAACTCTAAGTACCATAACAAAGAGCGATATTTATTTGTAATTTATTTACAAAATGTGGTACAAGGCCAAAATGGAGATAGGGAAAAAGGGCGATCTTCTTCTGTCTTAACGTAAAACTTAGCTAGCCACAAACATTGACCCAAATATACTACAATATTCCTAACACCAAAACAACACATCCTTACTTACCTTCCTTACTACATTCACCATAATACCTCATTGTCTCCCTGAAAGTCCTAATTAGTCCCCATATGTACAATTCATTGTCTGTAGAGGGAGGGGAATAAAACAGCAATTTAAAAACTAGCCCCAATACCATAACGAAGAGTTCATTCGAACAATTACTATGAAAAAATTTATAGAAAAGACACAGAGAGGCAACCTTACGGCAGTGGGAAAGTGACTGAGGCCAAGCCGCTAGATTAGGACCAGTAATATTGCTGATTCTTCTTTGGATTTTATCAAGGAGCTCAAGGCAAATAGCAGGGGAACTGGATAATATGTGGTAGCAATATTCTAAGACTTATAGATAATAATAATAATGTAAATATCAAAGGATACCGCACTACGGAGCAGTTATTAATAAGGTAGTCGCTAAGACGACTACTGTCAGAGTGAATTCGATTTTCATTGGGTAATCTATACTTGTGACCTTGGCCCAAAATAGGCTAAGTTTAGTAGCTAGCAATAACGAAGCGAGTGCAGACCAATTCCCTATCGTAGAGAGTTCGATCCCTACTGGGTCCTTTATCGTATTAAGCTGATTGAATACGTTTAAGAGAGATGGCTTAACGGTTATCGGCAAGAAAAACAGAATCAGTAAATTGTTCAAATTCTGGATGAGGTAGCTTGTCCGAAACAATACCCTTACAGGAAGGTATAAATCCACTTCTGACATTTTGACAAAATATCTTGTCTCCAGTATGTCAAGGCTGTTGATGGATAAAGGAGTGGTTAGGTGAACATTGTTGGAGCAAACCATTTGCTCATGAGTACCTTGCCGTTCAGGCAGTAGTATGAGTAAAAAGAACCTGTTGCCTCCATTGTCAACCTTGACAGGAGCCAATAAGATGACAAGAATTGGAAAATTGGAACAGCATCAATCCGGACGGAAGTTTTTAATTCAAGAATTTTTTTTCAAATCAAATTCTACATCGATAACACTGAGCAACAAACACATCGTCTTATTTAAAATGGTCAGCCTTCACATCCCAAATTTAAAAAAAAAAATCCTACATTTGCTTTCCTCCTGTTTTCGCCCCCAAAATCTTAATTATGAGTTCATTCTCTTTTTGTCCAGTTCAGTTTTCTTTTGTCAGTAAATAGCGGGAGGAATGATAATGACCGGTGTTCCTTTAGTCGGATACCAAACCAACCTTTGAGCGCTGTTGGCATTCGGGGGTAGCAAGGCGCGAGGCGGAATAGCCACGGGCATCGAAAGGCAAACAGGTTGACGGAGAAGTGGGGAACTCACTAACTGTGCTCGATGGCCGACGGGCGCGTCGGGATTTACTCTGATTTCTACGTTCATGTTCCAGTGGAAATTCTTGAGAATGTATGACTTCATGGTGGCCACCTTCCAGGCCACAAGCCACACAAGGAAGCTTTGGCGGCGTATGATATATGTCAGATTCGGCCGCAGCCGATTCGGATTTGTAGGGTTGCGCCACGTAACGTGCGGGTGGAAGTTGTCAACCATTTGGATGGTGCATCGCTTACCATTCAGATCCGGGCAGCGGAACTGGACCACCTCCTCGTTTGATCCGTACCACGGATAATATGAACCGTCGCAATCGCTAATCATCGATTCTTCCTGATTGACCAGTTCCGGAAATTCCCAGCTAGAGTATCCCTCCGATCCATACCAACACTGAAACGTCATATTCGTACACGCTTGTATCCAGCCTACTTTCCAATCTTCAAAATTATTGTTGGGGGCAAAATCAACAATTGCCGTGGCTCTGAAATCAGGGGTGCGATATTTCAGTACCGTGAGAGAGTTTTCGTCCAAACGTGTTGGTTCGTCGATGAGTCTGGCTTCGACATCTACAAGCTTTAATTTGTGTTCAATTTCTTTAAGTGGAGAGGTTCCGGCGTACATTCCTGTTCCCCAAGGAATTGATAAAAGAATTTAAAAAAAAAAAATTAAAGGGAGTTTCCGGCTGAAAATGCAGTCCGTCAAAAAAAATTGTTCATTTATTGATTGTCAGTTCCAATTTCGTTCCTTAATTGTGTAACAGTTACACGTTTATATTCGTCACTTGAAAACTGTCATCATGGTTACCAGTTTTCTATCATAGCATGTGTTGCATATAGCTACTGACGTCACAATTATCGTTGGATTTTGGCAGGCAAAGATGATATAAAATTTAGCGCTCATTTTACCTATAATCTAGTTAAAAAAATCAGCGTTCGATTCCATTTCAGCAAAAGAATTTAAGGAAAAAATAACAGCAATTGCATATTTCGGTAAAAGATTGAACGCACATTTTGGTAAGTGTGAATTTTTTGCGTTTTGTCTCATACGCCGAAATCTTCTACTTCATGCGAATTGATATGAAAAGTCTTACTGTATGCATTCGTGTATAAGACAGAATTTGAGTCTAAAAACATCATCCGAAAACCAGAGGTCATCTTATACACCGAATATAAAATCTGATCTTTAAGATCACGTGATTTAAAAAATCACCAATGGCAAAGAAGAACAGCATAAAACGCTCGCATTAATTAGTTGTATGGCAATACCTCTCTGTGTTTTTCCTGACACGTACATATATATATATATATATATATATATATATATATATATATATATATTTTTTTTTTGAGAAGCTTAATTAATAATCATGTTTTATCAAAATAATAAAAAAATTATTTATGAATCTATCAAATATACCTTTAAATAACGACACACAAAACGAAGCTAACAGCACATGTCAGTAACTATTTATAATTAAATGAATTTCAATAGACGATACGAAAAAACGGTATAATTAATAATAATAATAATGAAACTTAAGCTTTAGGGTCACTAATCCCAGAGGGGCTCATAAAGCAACGTTTTTTAATGAGTGAATTTTTCAGCAAAATCGAATTTTGTAATTTGACCAATTACAGGGGAATTTTGAGGCTATATGAAATGAATATTAGAGCATATACTAAGGCCAACATTAGCTACTTGATCCTATTGCCTTATGATTGTATCACTAAAATGGCCTTGTTTTAGTAACAAACACTTTTTTGATACAAGACCATTTTAGTGATAGAATCATAAGCCAATGTGTTGAAGTAGGTAATGTTGGCCTTAGTATATGGTCTAATACTCATTTCATATGGGAGCAAAATTCCCCTGTAATTGAGTAAATTAAAACATTTTCTTTGCGGCTTGCAGCGCTTGAACCCCCAAGAATATGAGCTTTGAGTTTTCCAGAATCTATTCATAGCCTACATTTTGACAGTTGGGAATTGTTCCTGGTTGCGAAGGTGTCCCCATATCTGCTCAAGCTTCAGCGACCCCCGTATCTGCTCAAGCCTCAGGGGTGCCCGTATCTGAGCAAGCTTCAGTGACACCCGTATCTGCTCAAGCCTCAGGGACGCCCGTATCTGCTCAAGTTTCAGTGACCCCCGTATCTGCTCAAGCTTCAGTGACCCCCGTATCTGCTCAAGCATCAGGGACGCCCGTATCTGATCAAGTTTCAGTGACCCCCGTATCTGCTCAAGCTTCAGTGACCCCCGTATCTGCTCAAGCCTCAGGGACGCCCGTATCTGCTCAAGTTTCAGTGACCCCCGTATCTGCTCAAGCTTCAGTGACCCCCGTATCTGCTCAAGCCTCAGGGACGCCTGTATCCGATCAAACTTCAGCGACCCACGTATCTGCTCAAGCTTCAGGGATCCCCGTATCTGATCAATCATCAGGGACCCCCACATCTGCTCAACCTCTAGGGACCTCCATATCTGCTCAAGATTCAGTGATCCCCGTATCGGATCAAGCTACAGGTCTCCAAACATGTAGGTCCGCCGCTGGATACAATCCGTTCGAATGTGGTCTTACCGATTTTAATATGAAATTAAGACAAGGGTTATAAATTAAAAATAGCTGCGGAGTATTTTATGCCAACATTTCTAATATATTACAGTATAATTCTATACATATGTAAATCAGTTTCAGTGAAAAGGTAAACTTAGAATCAAGATTATGTTTGGTTTTGTTGGTTTTATAATAACAAATTCTTAAGTGACAGCATTAGTATTTCCAATACACCAACTGCGCAAGGTATTTTTATGATACTAATAGGCGTCTAGTTTTTAAGGAAATTTCCTTCCACCACTCTAAGCTTAAGACCGACGGGATAATTAATTTCGCTCTTTTTGATTTTTTCAATGATTTTCAGACATCCTTTTTGTTAAAATGCCACCGTTTATTGCAGAGAGAAAAGTTCCCAGTAAGAATAGATAATTGACAGCATTTTGCAATTATTTGAAATTAATTAGCTAAATTTCAAATAATTAATTAGCTAAATTTTAAATAATAAAGATTGTGTTTTAATCCGAATTTTTGAGATGAGGCGTCATCATTATTTACACTATTTATACATGGGCAGTGGAACATGAACAGTCTATTCTCGTAGATTAAACAAAGGGTTCACTTCAGAATTTCTTGTAGATTTCCCAGTTCAATATACACCTGAGGAAAGCTGGATGGCACACCGGCCAAACAACAACAAAGATGAAGACACTAGTCCAAATATAAATAGTGTAAATAAACATTGAGTTGCTTAAAACAAAAGTATATAAATATATATTTTATTGACTTCAAATTCAATTACCTTGGTTGAATTGCCGGGTTTTAAAAACCTGATTTATAGTTTCTATTGAAATTTTGTTGACATGATGATTTTCTCGGTCGACCCGTTAACAGTCGCATGACCCCTTCGATATTTTCGGTAGTATACCGACGTGAATGATCCTGGTGGCCTGAGAGTTAATGAAATAGTGACTCTCTCGGACAATCAACATCCAGCCCTTCTGAGAATATCCTGGTTATGTATGAAATCACTACTAGTCAATCACTTTCTTCAAAGTTGTGGTCATAAGGATCCTGCAATAGTTACTTAAGAAATTGATCTACGTGTTGCTAAATTATCTGTAGTTTATTTATGCAAAAAAAAAAAAAAAAGGAAAAAAAAAGCTCTTTAAGATATCACCAAAAAATATAATCGGGAGGTTTCAGATCAGTAGAACGTGATGGTTGCAGAATTTCCGAATTTCACAAAATTATCCAGGGATCAAACTTTTTTCGTTTTTGATCATTACACTTCAAGCAAGGTAATGAAGCCACTAAGACTCAATGAGTTACTGAATGTAAGAGAATATGAGAATTAAAACTGCACGATTTTGGTTCTTTTTGCAGTCATGATCTTTCCCTGTGGAATTTCCCTAAGTTCTCAATAAATAAACATATATAGTATTTGCCTGGTTATTGGACACACCCATGCATTGGAATATTTATAAAAAAAAATGCACACATCACAACCAAAAAAATCAAAATTATAACCTTACCTTTATGTGACATTCTCACTAACCATGAAGAAACACTTACAGTATTTAGCACAAATTATACGAATGGTACTTTTTTTTAAAAATAGCAGTAAAGTAACGTTTAATTGCCAGGACATTTTTTGGGAAAGAAGGATTTTAGTACATTTCATCATGGATTTATTGAAAATAGTTTTAGTTGTTTTTCATGGAGCAACATCCGCACATCCAGTAAATTCCTAATGGCTACAAAGAAATCTACTGGTATCAGTGAATACTGGTGCATATGGCAATAGGTAAAAAAAAACCCCAGAAATATGGTGTATGTTGGTAAACAAAGTCTCATACTGAAAAAGATAAGTATAAAGATAAGTAGACACAATATGTCTCCCTCTCTCTCTCTCTCTCTCTCTCTCTCTCTCTATATATATATATATATATATATATATATATATATATATATACAGGTATTGGATTGGTGTATACGGAATAAACCAAAAAATATACTTCAAAGAGTGCTCAATACAGAGTAGAGCAAATATTATTTATTCAAAAATTATAACATAAACATGTTATAACATCAATACAAAAATAGCCATTTTGTTTCAACAATTCTTATCAAGTGATGTTGTTGAATGTAGAATAAAGAGTTTTAAAAGGTTCAAATCAACCAAACACACCTCGATAGGGAAGACACCGTCACATAAGCTGCACTGACCAATCAAAATACAAGTATATGAGGAATTCAAAAACTTGACAACGAACTTTGGTTAAAATTATTATTGCCTAATGTTAGGGTTAGACTAAAATGGAAATCATTCGAACTAATTAATATTAAATTTTACTATAAAATTGAAAATTAAAAATTACCAACTTTAAATTTAATCTGTATTAAGTTTAAAATATTATAAAATTATTTAAAGAAGAATATATTTTATTATTTATTTTGTTTTAATTGAAAAGCCAAAATCTCAGAATAAACCGTAGTATAATAGGGATGTAAAACATCGTTACAACTTGGATGCATTTGAAGTGGTGATATGGGCAAAGGAAAATGAAATCTTGCAAAAGACAATGCAAACACAATCAGATTATAATACACGAGCGCGTAGACATATTTAGTTATAATTTTCGAATAAATTATATATATATATATATATATATATATATATATATATATATATATATATATATGTGTGTGTGTGTGTGTGTGTGTGTGTGTGTTTGAATGCTCTTTTCTGTCTGAATTTTGATAGACAATATGAAGAAGGCCAGAGGGTACAACAACCGGAACGTTGGGATGATAGCAACAAAGATGAAGACATTAGTCAGTCTGCAAATAAATGTTTTGAGTTGTCCGGAAAGTTCATGCGGATTTTTAAGGGAAATTTAAATACAAAAAACAAAATTATGCCATTAAATATTTATTCAACTAACTATGAACCATTTTGTTGCACAACATTTCTCTATTTTTTCATCAACTTAAAGATTCCTTCTTTTCAGAATTTCGGTCCTTTTTTGGCAAAGAACTATTTAAGGTGCTTTTTTCATGTCATCCAAAGAATTAACATTTTTACCATTGAGATTATTTTGCAAGGAACTGAATAAATGAAAATCCGAAGGAGCAATAACTGGTGAATATGGCGAGTGGGGTAACACATCCCAGCCAATCTGCAACAATTTTTACCAGGTCGCCAAAGAAAAGTGAGGTCTGGCATTATCCTGATGGAAAACAACACCTTTTCTCTTCGACAATTCTGGGTCTTTTTCTTGAAATGTTGCCTTTAATTAGGCCAGTTGCGAGCAGTACTTTTCAGAATCAACTGACTGGTTACCTTGCAGAATCTCATAGTACAGGATTCCTTTCCAAACCAACCAGATGCACAGCATGCCTTTGAAGACCTGCATTTGATGTAGCTAAAGTTGACTCATGTAACTTACTCTAGGATCTTTTTCGCTGAACATTGTTGTAAACCATCCATTTCTTATCACCCGTCACAATTTGCTTAAAAATAATGTATTTTCATTGCGTTTATACAGCAAATCACAGATGAAATGCGATCCAAAAGCTTCTTTTCACTCAGATCATGTCGTACCCAAATAAGTAGTGATTTGAGTACCCAAGTTTCACTAAGTGCTCATGGATAGTGGATTTTGATAAATTTAGTTTTTCTGCCAATTTCCGCGTTGCGTAATGCGGGTTATTCTCAATCAATGTCTTCATTTGGTCGTCATCTGTAGTGGAGGGGTCTTCCTGTGCGTTCTTCATCAATAAAGCTACAATCATCAACCTTAAAATTAGTGAACCACTTCCGTATCGTTCTGCCTGCTAAAGCACTTTCACCACACACAGCACATTTCTCCTTTTTTTGCTTGCGAGAAATGTTTGCCTTTACGATAAAAAATGATCAAGTGTCTAAAATGCATCTTATAATCTTCCATTTTCATAAGGATACAAAATTGACACGAATTAAGTAATTTTAAACTTTCTCTCTGAAGAGATAATTTGAAGTGTGTTCTAATCGGAAATGAAAGCATATTATATCTGTCGATAAATTTGACATGTTCTAACGTGTTGGAAAATGAACGACTAAAAATCGTCGTAAACTTTCCGGACAACCAAATAAATATTTTAATCTATGTTAATTTATGTTAATGCATATTTCTACAAACATTTCATATAATTAGGCTGATTACGATGAAAAGATACCATCCAGAAGGGAAAAGAACTTTATATTGTAAAACGTTGTCGTAAAAATGTAAATTATTGCACTTCAAATTCTTGCCACAATTATTAGATGGTTGTTTGCTCTATTAATTGCAACGATGGCAAATTACCAACGCCACCATTGAAAAGAAAAAAAGAAAGGAGTAAGAAAAATAAACCAAGGAAAAAAGAAAGAAAGAAGCAAAAAGAGAAGAGAAGAAATAAAGAGGTAGAAGAGAAGATATAAAGAAAGAAAAAATAAAGAAAAAGTAAAAAAAGAAAGAAATAAAGAAAAAATTTCTTCCTTTTTATTTTCTTTTTACTTTTTTTAGAAAGTAAAAATAATAAAAGTAAAAAAAACAAAAGTAGAAGTGAAGAAAGAAGAAAAAGAAAATGTAAGATAGAAAGAAAAAAAAAAAGAGAAAATTCTTTTACGTTCTTTTTTTTTTAATTGCTTTTTCGAATTAAAGAAAGAAAAGTAAGAAAAAGCAAAAAAAAAGTAGAAGATATATAGAAAGAAGAAAGAAAGAAAAAAAATTTTCTTTTTTTTTTTACTTTGTTTTTAGAAAGTAAAAGAAAGAAAAAGGTCAGAAAAAACAAAACAGTAGAAAAGAAGAAAGAAGAAAAAAGCTTAGTTTTAGAGACGTTTTAATTTTTTTTTTTAATAAATTTACTCAATGAAACA